CTTAGTAAAAGTGGACTGTGAGGATAGTCACACATAGCAACGTTTTTTCATGGTGGCGGTAGCACAGTTGCATCAAATCAAGCTCTCCAACAGCAGCAGGAGTGAAGTATGCAAAATCATTGAAATGAATGTCATCTCAGACAAAATCACCATCAGTACCAGCCATCAGTCTCCCAATCCCCCAGCACTGAGATAATACACACTTAAATCAACGGTTAAGTTTGCATGTAAAAATGATTCAGGCATAAATACAGTGCTAATAAATAATGAAGCCTTATGAAGATGATTAATAAATATGAATGTGTTTATGGATCACTTATTCCAACTTGACTTTCTAATTTCTTATTATTTTATTTATAAAGATTTGTATATGTTGCTTCTCAGAAAGAATAAGTTCTGCTTAGCCATGATCTTTGCAAAGGTTCCTCAACAGAATTGGAGGGTCTGGAGTTCCTGATTTAGACCTGCAATATTTATGGGGTAGTGGGAAGATTACTTTTAACCACTGAGAAAACTCATGAAAATATGTTTCCTGCAGGGCTTACTGTTATGATCGCAGCTGATGTTATAATTGGACAAGTCAGATTCCAGACTGTAATCTGACTTGATAGATCACATTTTGTTTAGTGTTTATCTGTTGAGAAGTTCTTTTACTGAAATGCAAGCACACAATGATGCAGATTTGGTTTTGACAATAAAACAGGAGCTTATCACACAAAAGAAAAGATAAAATAAACTGCAGTTTATGTGTAATATAAATTTGAAAGATTTCAAAGCAAACTGAAAGGTACAAACTTATCTATCCCAATACAAATTGCATTGAAGTACTCAAAGACCCAGGAGAATTCCCTCCTCTATCACTTTTATAGGTATGACTTACTGCATCTTTCAATTCTCAATCTTAGCGTTCTAATCAGTTGTTTTTAGTCTGGAACTTACAACTAAAGCCTCTACGCTGAGATTATGTATTTCCTTTTTTTTTATCTAGGAGAAAGTGTGTCACAAATTCAACTTTATCCAGAATTTCTGCACACTGAAAATAAAAACTTCCAAACTATGGGATTTTCACAGAAGGAAAAAAAATCCTGAATCTTCTAATTGAAAGCAAGCTAATGCTCCTCAATGCTTACTCTATCCACTCATAAAACTCTCACAATGCAAACAAATTCTCATTATGAGAGACAGACTAACTGGAGCGATAATGGCTTTGAAAAAAATGCATGGCTTCAGAAATATAGACAAATTAATCATTGAACTCCCTCAGATACACAGACAAAAACCCTACCTGTTACTAGTTCAAAATCTAAACTCTAACATATACCACACAACAGAAGTTAGTGGCAGCCCAGGTTATAAATTTTGGAATCTATTTCTTTGTTACAACTAGCTAGATTGGGAGACTGGCTGACTGTCAGGTGCATAGGCCTATGGTATTAGGCTCCTGATGAGGAACATAGAGGCAGGGGTAGAAGATTTGGGATTGAAGAGAATACTCATGATAGGTAAGGGAGGTAGAGCATGTGGGAAGGAAAGAAAGAAGATTGCATTGCAGAGTGTGGGCTTGCAGATTGTTATGGACCCCCTCAAAATATATTAAGAAGATCGCCTAGACCCTAACCTTTTTGTATTTTAAAGATGTGTCAGGTGGTACATTCCAGATGCAATTCAATTGGTCAAAATACTTGACTTTAAGCAAAACACACGTTATTTTTACACTATGGTTAAAATACAGGCAAAATAAAAATAAAAGAATTAGCTTAACTGTAACTCTGTCGAAATGCTTAACAAAATAATATATATTAATTACTACTAATTACTGGTTCCAACATAACAAAATCCCATAAACACACCCTTGGCAAAGGAAAATACATTAAAACAGATTGTCTCAAATGCAATTCCAGTAGCAGAAAGAGAACCCCAGCTTTCAACGGTAACAGAAAGAGGAATAAAAGCTTCCATATTGAGTTTCAAGACCCCAGCAACTGTAGAAAGCTAAAGCTAAAAATCCTGGTTCTGTAGGATCTTGACCCCACCCATTCAGGCTGCTTTTATTGTTCCAACTTTAAAAAAAAAACAAGCCTCACAAGCTGATATCTTTATTGGCACTGAGCAGACAGCTTTGCACATCTGTCTCAACATTTCTTCATACAAAGAAACTAGGACAATCTACACCACTTAAAGACATAGTGTCATCTCAAGGGTATTAGCAGGAATAGAGGGGAGCAGATAATGGGGGAGTCCACAGAGATGGAGAGCACAGAGGGAAAGATTGTATGCTCAAATCTGATAAAGAAAACAAATTATCAAAGGATGGTGAGATAGTAAGAACTGCAGATGCTGGAGTCAGAGATAACGAAGCATGGAACTGGAGGAACACAGCAGGCCAGGTAGCATCAAAGGAACAGGAAAGCCGACATTTCTGGTCGGGACCCTTCTTCAGAAAGTTCAGAAATTTTTTGGGTGGTGTCATTTTTTGCCAAGACCACCACTAGCTTGGCTGAAGCCAGCAGCAAGGAGAAAATGAAACAGCCAACATGACAACCAACAAGGGAGCTGCAATGGCCAGGAGGATCTGTCACCATTGTGTGATGCTATAACCACCATTTCTTCATGCATTGGCCATCAGCTGCAATCTCTGCCAGTCATCTTGCTGTTGGAAACACCTACTCCATTTTTGGGTTGGCAAGCTGTAACTGCGGAAGTACAAAAGACATCAGTTCTGCAGCATAAACTATTTCCAATTGACATCAATGATCAGGACGAAGGTAGCTAAATGTATGAATGCTACCAAAATAGCTAGGAAAGTAAGTTGTCAAGAGACAACAGAGTCTGCAAAGAGATATAAATAAGTTTGAAAAATAATGGGCAAAATATCTGCTGAAGGGTGATAACATTGAAAAGTATACATTTGTCCACTTTGGTGACTTCTTTAAACAAGCACAATTGCTGATCTCAGTGGAACAGAGCAACCACAGTGCCCTGGTTCATGAATCATAGAAAGTTTGTACGTAGGTACAAGTGTAGGATCAAGGACTTTAGGGCCATTAGCTAATCAGTCCAGAGGGTAACGCATATTAACATTTATGAACTACTATATTATATCATTGTGAATGTTTGGCTGGATTTCAACAACTACAATTATCTAAGCAGAGAGTTTTGTGTTCACCATTTGATTGAGAATTTAAAGTGTCTATTAAAGGATTATCTGTCTTTGATGTGGGGTCTGAATACAAAAGAGCTTGTATTTGTAAACGATTGACCATGTGAGAAGATTTATAAGTTTTGGATGGACTTCATGGATGGGAGATTTTTCTTTCATTATCAAGCATGCATTACTGAAGTTACTCACTGTAATTGGCTCCACTTGATGTCATTTCATCTTAAGGCAGATTTATTTTGAAGGCCTGTTTTCTTGAATTAGATCGGCATTTCCAGTGTAACACTGTTGGCTTCAACCCCACCCCATTCCCATAACTCACCACCTGGAGTTACCTACCTGTAGCTCTTGCCTCCTTCCAACAGAAATATTACTATTGTAATAACCCCATTGTTAAGGGTTTGGAAGAAAAGGCATTTGTTAAATATGTGTACAAGAAAATTTTCTCATTTAATATGTGGATGTACCTCCTAGAGAAGGAGCAAAACCTGACCTTCTCTTGGGAAATAAGGCAGGGCAAGAGACTGAGGTGTCAGTGGAGGAGCACTTTGGGGCCTGTGACCATAATTCTATTAGTTTGAAAAGGATGGAAAAGGATAGAATGATCTAAAAGTTAAAGTTCTAAATTGAAATAAGGCCAATTGTGAAGGTATTAGACAGGAAATTTCAAAAGTTGATTGTGAAAGGGCGATTCACAGGTAAAGGGATGGTTGGGAAGTGGAAGACCTTCTAAGACGGGATAACCAGAGTCCAGAGATAGTATGTCCCTGTCTGTGTGAAGGGGAAGGCTGGTAAATGTAGGGAATGCTGGATGACTAGAAAAATTGAGGCTCTGGTCAAGAAAAAGCAACAGGCATATGGCAGGTATAGACAGCTGGGATCGAGTGAATCCCTCAAGGAGTATAAGGACAGTACAAGTATACTTAAGACAGAAGACAGGAGGGAATAAAGGGGTCATGAGATAGCTTTGGGAAATAGGTTAAGGAGAATCCAAAGGGATTCTCCTGTACATTATGGGCAAAAGGGTAATAAAGGAGAGAATAGAATCAATGTGCCCTATACCATTAATGTCATGTCATGTTACACTGAATGGCGGGGTTTCTGTAGTACAATAGGTGTGTCCATGTCTCTGAGCCAGGAGGTCCAGTCTCAAGTCCTATCTGTCCTGGGTGTATGTCATATATGTCTGAACAGGTTGATTTAAATGAATTGTCAGCACGTGGGTACAACTTTAAAGAAGATTTACATTAAATGGGGAGGGCTCTTGTGGTGCAGTGTTAACGTCCCTAGTCTGGTCAGAAGGTCTTGGTGCAGGTCTCACCTTCCCCAGACATGTATCATAACATATCTGAATAGGGGCATGACAGACTTGTATTTATATCATCTTTTCCACCATCAATGGACACCATAGAGCACTTTCCAGGCAACAAAGATTTTTTTAAGGGCTCTTATGGCACTGTGGTAGTGTCCTACCTCTGCTTCAAAAGATCTGGGTTCAAGTTACACCTGCTTCAGATGTCTGAACAGGTTGATTTAAAAAATCTAAAATCTAAACCCCCCGATTATGGGTTAACCCAAATTTCAGCTTAAGAATCCTTCTTAGCCACTTCTGAAATTCTTCTGCACGGAAAGTATCTGGAGACAATTAATATGGTGCCAGCAAGGTTTACATCTTTCCTGGTTTTTATTTCCATTGATGTTAATATGAATGTTTAATATCCAATCTTGTTCTGCCTAGAGTTTGCTATATCTCATTTCATGCCTGTTATCTTCAATTGTCATGTTTCAATGTATGTTGCAGCAGTTTTGCAAAAAATAACATGATCTCCCTTCTAATTTTCAGGGCAGCATAAGTATCTATGCGCTGGAAGGAACGATTGCATCATTGACAAAATTCGAAGGAAGAACTGTCCAGCCTGCCGCCTCAGAAAGTGCTATCAAACTGGAATGGTGTTAGGAGGTAAGAGAAAAAAGTTCTTCGATTTAAGTCAAAACAGGTAAACAGACCGAATGTATTCTGTATCCCAGCAAGATTGTATTGACAACTTTTGATGTGTACATGTAGAATTATAAGTGAGTGTATATTATTTAATGGAACTAAAAATTATATTCCTTGCCCAGTGAACCTGTAATTCACACAAGTGGAAACTGGATTTGATAGTAAGTGTGAAATTTCACCAAACATTTTAATCTTTTCTGCTGATGTTCTCCAGTCTGCCATGCCATTTATACAACACATCAAGTAAGATTATGCCATTTGAAAATGTTGATTATATTTAAAAACATGAAGTGTGGCACAACTTTTTTTTATGGTGGGGTTATCAAATCACATTCCAACATCTCACTTCCCCTTTTTTCTGTCAGTGGTGTGTCATTACTGAAGTGTGTTACTGAGGAGTGTGCAGCACTAGAAGAAAATTAAGTTATACCACCCATCAAGTTTTCAGTGTTTGATTTTACAATTCCATTTTAATGGACAAAAGTCCATTTAATAAAATGTGGATAGAGCAGACTTTCTAAATGGCTCTTTGCCATTTAATCACACTAAAATTCTGACAGAAATTCTAATACAACAACCGTGGAATTCTGAAGTCGATTTTTTTAAGTAATTTTCTTATAATCTTTGGGAATTGTGGTCTAGGTATCAATTAATTTGCGAACTCTCCTCAGCTGTATTCAGATATGAAAAAGGATCTGGGTGAAATTTGCAATTTTCATATTCACTTAACAATACTCAGAATCATTTCAGATCAGTTCAGAGAGATTGCAATTTCTACAGCATTTTCCTCAAGGTGGCCCATAACCTGTTAATAATGAATTGAACTCATGATCTGCAAGTTGCAAGCATTAAAAGCAAATCAAACTAACTTGAACCACTTGCGTTTACATTTTTTAAATTAATGAATTGTATGCATACAATGGGACAATTTGTCTATTATACTTTTTGTACATATATGCACTTCTTCTTTGGAAATTATGGCAATTGTTTATGCTCCTCCCTTTTGCATGAACTGATGATACCAGTGACTGGAAGAAAGTGTTGGCAGTAAATAGGTAGGTACTTTAAAAACAACTAAGAGCAATGCACTTCCTGTGTTGTTTAGTAACTGTCTATTTGTTGAAATGGGGATCTTTGTCTGAGTTAACTGGCTATCTGGTGAAGCATGAAACCAGTTTGTCAGGTTGGCTCTTTGCAATTTTTGTCTGACCCCGTATACTGTATTTATATTTCATCTGCTGGAGTAACACTGACAGCATTATCAGAGTGATGCTGGAGGGCAGCAGTCCTTACATCGACCATTGGCATCTTTGCAATCTAGGGCAATGCACACCTGCAGTCACTTTCTACCAATTGAGTAAAGCAGCTGGAACAATTAATATGTTCCAGTTGTAGAAATAAAAAAGATAGCTTGTTATGAAACAATGAAAAGTTAATGATCAGGTCCTGATGACCCAATGAGTAAAGGCACCACCTAAAGTAGCACTGTACAGTGCATGCTGCAAGTTCAATTCCTACCCTGTGCTGAAATTTTACAATATGAGGTGTAACAGAGGCTGGTAAGCATTAAACATTAGAGTACTGGAGGCTTCCAATGTTTCTCATTCATACCCTTTGTGGGATTTACACCTATTCTCCCAGTTTCAGAAAAACACAATGCCTTTAGTACAACTAACCTGGCTTTTCAGTTTCTCAAAACTAAGCTCTTTGATGTTGTGCAGTTTGGATTTAAGACTGCCAGCACACACTGTACTCTCAAACCTGTACAGCTGAGAGAGCAGAGGGAGCCTTTAGCCCCTTTCTCAGGGTTAAAGGACTAAACTCAAACTTAGATTGCAGCGGATGAACACAGTGTGCCTCAAACATCGTGTACCACATGTTAATGTTTAACTGTGCATTATGTTTGAAGCTGTTCATTTTTGATTAACAGAACATGGCCATCTTTATGAAAAGAAGGACCATGAATTAAGCTACTTAGGCAGGAAGAGTACTCTTTCAGGCAGAGAAGCTTTAAGTAGGATCTTGTTCAGGCATTAGGGGTCCTCTCTTGATAGTCTTCCAAAGGAAGACCCACCGAGCACCAGCCAATCTGGCAATGCCAGGCCTCTCCTGTCAGAGGATCATGGAGGACCCAGAACAAGAGTAAGTGATGTGGGGTTCAGGGAGGATGTGGATCCTTAAGTTGAGTATCATGGGGAGAGGAGGGAGGTGAATCCCAGCGATTGCACCACCCCACACCTCCCTGACAGCCAGTGGGTTTGTTTAATCAGGCACCAATTGCTTTTTGATAGAGACCCCCACACACCTCATTCCCACCTAGAGGTGACAAGCAGCCACACTCTCTCTTTCACCTGTCACTCCTAAAGATTGGTAACGGGCCCACTGTTATAGACTAGACCGAAACCCCTCAAAACCTATCAGAAGATAGGCTAGCCCCTAACATTTATCTTATTTTAAGGCAAATGCAAGGTGCTATGTTCCAGGTGTAATTCAATTGGTCACACTACTAAGCTTTAAGCAAAACATATTTTTACACCACAGTTAAAATGCAAACAAAAAAGGCATAATTTTAACTCTACAAAGATACTTAATAAAAAGGATATATTTAACTACTGCTCATCAACTGTTCCAATATAGCAGCATCCCATAAACACCCCCTTGCCGAAGGCAAATTCAGCAAAACAGATTTCCCTTGCTTGTTATCTCCTCCAGTCCAGGAGAAAGGGAAAACTGACAGAGTGCATCTACCAGCAAAGACAGAGGGAGAGAGAGGGCGAGAGAGAGAACAAGAAAGAGAGAGAGAGCTGTATCTAGCAGCTTCAACTCCAACTCCAAAGAAACAACTAACTTCAACGAGTGAAAGCAAAAACTAAAACTCTGGGTCTATGTGAGCATGACTCCACCCAGTTGTGCTTCTTTTGTCTAATTTTAAAAACCCACAGCTATTTAGTCTGCTTTCCATGGAGCAGACACCTCAGTACCAGGTTTACAACATTTTAAAAGCACACATTGTCACACCACAAGCTGTTGGACAAATCCCAGTAGCATTGGGTTGAGGCCATTTCATTGTCTTTAATTGGCTATGTAAGGGCCTCAGTTAGTGGCAGCATAGGAGGGTCAATTGTGGAAGTTAATCCTAGTATTTAACTCTGCTGGAGCTGAGAAGATTGGGGTTTGGCTACACAACAACCCCATCAGTTTCCTTCCTGCTTCCAAGCTCGCCACCTCACACAGGAGAACTTTCCACCTATGTAGACATATTAAATTCTACTTCTTAAATGCAATAGGCCAGATTTGAACTTTAGGACCAGTATGATTGTTCATATAATTTGCAACATATTTGTAAATGCAAATATTGAAAATGTTTGCACGGTAATGTATCTTACACATAAGTTCCAAAACAGAATGGCCTTCAACAACACAAACATGTTTGGAGTAATACACCTTTAGTATATTTTAATTTTTGTACATTAAAGTCACAAAGACTTTTGATTTTACTCAACTATTTTCTTTTGGAATCTAAACCAGTGTTGACTGGACCAGTTTAGAATGGAAATTGAAACTGGTCCAGTTGAACTTGTTTCAGTAGCGCAAAGCCTGTCAGGGGACTTTTAACACCCAAGAGCAAAGTTTAGGAGATTAGGGGCAAGGTCCCCATGAATTCCTGAAAATCAGGGGAAGTGATCCCATTGACTGAGGCTCCATGATAACAGTACATAGTTCCAAAATTAATTAATCGGTCTGAGTGGTGAAAATTGTGATTACAGTTTTGCCAATCACAAAAGCTGAAGAGAATATAACATTTTTGAAGGGCATTTCATTCAAATACCTTCTCTTAAAGGTCATGCATTGCATCATCACCATAAACTGGAAACACTATAAGCTGGAAAAAGAAAGAACATTAGTATTAGGTTGAATATCTTACTTGCAAGTAAACTTCAAACCTTAAATCAGCTGGCCTGCAACTCCTAATGATATACAAGGGATAAAAAGAAGTTTTATTAAGAGTGTTGTGTACATTCCTTGTAACTAGAAAATCAAAGTGAGAATTGACACAGATCAACAAATAGCTGAAATTACAAAGATTTAATTTTCATCGCAGACATCCGAGCATGCCAGTCAGTCAATTCTCAAATTAATGCAAAACATAACTTTCACTGACTTTATATAACATAGCAACTGTCAGAAATATGTCACTGTGGTATTAGAGTAGGTTTAATTTTTTTAGCTTTCACTTCTAAGCTCTGGTTTTGAGAGGTTCTATGCTACCAGAAGTGCCTCGCTGAGTCAGAACTGAGCGAAAATCAATAGACTGCAATAGAGACAACAAGATGCAGGGCTGGATGAACACAGCAGGCCAAGCAGCATCATAGGAGCCGAGAATAGACATTGTCAGTCAGGTGTAACTTTGCTGCTATCCAGTGCTGGCCTTATTGTAATCTCTGAACTTCTGTCTGAAATTCCCAGTCAAATTTTCATTTTTGTGATCCATTCCTGCCTTATATCTCACTTCACCCACAAAATTTGGAATAGCCGAGCCTATAGAAATATTTTTAATCCACAAGCACCAATGCTAATAGCATTTTTCTCCTTGTATTTGCTTCAATTAGTGTGAACATTTTATTTCTGTATGAACAATTATTTTTCCTCCAAAGCTTATCAGTAAATTGTTAGCCTTTGTTCAGAGGTTTGATTGGTGCTGCATATTAAATAAGGAAAATTAGTTCATGTTAAATGCATCTTGACAATCACTTGTTCAAGATGCCAAAGGAGACCCAACTATAACATCTTTATCTGACTGGATAGCCTGCCACAAATCTATACTATCTACTCTGTAATTCTTTGGCATCAAACGCATCTCCTTCAAGTTGTGAAAGTTACAACTGATTAAAACCTTTACACTAGAGATAACAAGGTGCAGAGCTGGATGAACACAGCAAGCCAAGCAGCATCTTAGGAGC